AGCCATTGTTTAATTGTGCAAGTACCATTTCCCAAACCCAGCTTTCAACTTTGCTGAAAAAAATACTAGCTACATGCAATAGCCAGCCTCGAATCATATGATCAGGAAAGATGTCTGCATATCCTATTCCACTGGCAGATCCAGAATAACACTGATAAGGAAGTGCTAAATCCATAAGGGACATACATTACCTGGGTAATGTGAGAAGTGGGGGTATTCTGATTTGATCCAAAAAAAGGATAACACCAGGAACCCAATTTTGGTTTGATGAAAATAAGTTTAACCTTTTAAATAGAACCAACGATGCTGTCAGCAACCTTGCAGGAGCTGAATTAACACCAAATATTATATTATTATTATTAATAATAAGATAACAGGGATATCTTGCTACTCCTACTTACACTTTGGTCACACTTCACAGACACGCACATGCATATATATATATACATACATCTAGGTTTTTCTCCTTTTTCTAAATAGCTCTTGTTCTTTTATTTCTTCTATTGTCCATGGGGAAGTGGAAAAGAATCTTTCCTCCGTAAGCCATGCGTGTCGTATGAGGCGACTAAAATGCCGGGAGTAATGGGCTAGTAACCCCTTCTCCTGTATACAATTACTAAAAAAGAGAAGAAGAAAAACTTTATAAAACTGGGTTGCTTAAATGTGCGTGGATTAGTGCGGATGACAAGAAACAGATGATTGCTGATGTTATGAATGAAAAGAAGTTGGATGTCCTGGCCCTAAGCGAAACAAAGCTGAAGGGGTAGGAGAGTTTCAGTGGGGGGAAATAAATGGGATTAAATCTGGAGTATCTGAGAGAGTTAGAGCAAAGGAAGGGGTAGCAGTAATGTTAAATGATCAGTTATGGAAGGAGAAAAGAGAATATGAATGTGTAAATTCAAGAATTATGTGGATTAAAGTAAAGGTTGGATGCGAGAAGTGGTCATAATAAGCGTGTATGCACCTGGAGAAGAGAGGAATGCAGAGGAGAGAGAGAAGATTTTGGGAGATGTTAAGTGAATGTATAGGAGCCTTTGAACCAAGTGAGAGAGTAATTGTGGTAGGGGACTTGAATGCTAAAGTAGGAGAAACTTTTAGAGAGGGTGTGGTAGGTAAGTTTGGGGTGCCAGGTGTAAATGATAATGGGAGCCCTTTGATTGAACTTTGTATAGAAAGGGGTTTAGTTATAGGTAATACATATTTTAAGAAAAAGAGGATAAATAAGTATACACGATATGATGTAGGGCGAAATGACAGTAGTTTGTTGGATTATGTATTGGTAGATAAAAGACTGTTGAGTAGACTTCAGGATGTACATGTTTATAGAGGGGCCACAGATATATCAGATCACTTTCTAGTTGTAGCTACACTGAGAGTAAAAGGTAGATGGGATACAAGGAGAATAGAAGCATCAGGGAAGAGAGAGGTGAAGGTTTATAAACTAAAAGAGGAGGCAGTTAGGGTAAGATATAAACAGCTATTGGAGGATAGATGGGCTAATGAGAGCATAGGCAATGGGGTCGAAGAGGTATGGGGTAGGTTTAAAAAATGTAGTGTTAGAGTGTTCAGCAGAAGTTTGTGGTTACAGGAAAGTGGGTGCAGGAGGGAAGAGGAGCGATTGGTGGAATGATGATGTAAAGAGAGTAGTAAGGGAGAAAAAGTTAGCATATGAGAAGTTTTTACAAAGTAGAAGTGATGCAAGGAGGGAAGAGTATATGGAGAAAAAGAGAGAAGTTAAGAGAGTGGGTGAAGCAATGTAAAAAGAGAGCAAATGAGAGAGTGGGTGAGAGTTATCAACAAATTTTGTTGAAAAAAAAAAAAGTTTTGGGTGAGATTAAAAATTTAAAGAAAGCCTAGAGAAAAAATGGATTTGCAGTTAAAAAAGGAGAGGGAGTTTTTAAAAAGGAGAGTTGAGGTTTTGGGAAGGGGAAAGGAATTTTTTGGGGAAATTGTTAAATGTTGATGAAGATAGAGAAGCTGTGATTTTTTTGTATAGGGCAAGGGAAAAATCTTGTAGGAGTGAGGAAGACCCAGTTGTGATGTGGGGGAAGTTCGTGGGCAGTAGGTAAAATGAAAGGGGGTAAGGAAAGCCGGGTTTGATGGGATAAAGATAAAAATTTTAAAAAGCAGGTGGGATATAGTTTTGGGGGGTTTGGGTGAAATTATTTATAAATGTAGGGAAAGAGGGTAAGGTACCTGGGTTTGGCAGAAGAGCAGATATTTTCCTTTGTAAAAAGGCAAAGGGGAAAAAAGGGAGGTGAAAAAATTATAGGGGGATAAGTTGTGAGTTACCGGGTAAAGGTAGGTGGTTAAAATTAAAAAGAATTAAGTGTAGAGGGGAAAGGTTAGCGATGAACAAGGAGGTTTTGGGGAAAGGTGGGGGTGTGTGGACAGGTGTTTACAGTAAAAACCTAAAGGAAACATATTTAGTAAGGCTAAAGGGTCTTTGGGATTTATGGATTTGGGGGAAGGGTTTTTACGGGGGGGGTGGGGGGCAATGTGGAGATGTTGCAAGTGTAAAGGGGTAGGAGGTAGGTTACTGAAAGCAGTGAAGAGTTTTTTCGGGATAGTGGGCTCAAGTTAAGATGTGGAAAGGGGAAATTTTTTTCCCCGTAAAAGTAGGCCTAGACAAGGATGTGTGATTTCCCGTGGTTGTTTATATATTTATAGATGGGGTTTTTAAGAAGTAAAAGCGAGGGTCTTGGCAGAGGGGGTGGGTTAAAAAATAAAGAATCACCACAAAGTGGGGTTGTCACGTCCTTTGCTGATGACACTGTGCTTTTGGGGATTTGAAAGAAGTTGCAGGTTGGTGGATGAATTTGGTTTGGGTGTGCAAAAGAAGAAAATTAAAGGTGAATACAGGAAAGAGTAAGGTTATGAGGATAACAAAAAGATTAGGTGATGAAAGATTGAATATCAGATTGGAGGGAGAGAGTATGGAGGAGGTGAACGTATTCAGATACAGTGGACCCCCGCATAACGATGGCATCACATAGCGATTTTTCCGCATACCGATTACTTTTATCGCAAAATTTTTGCCGCGCATACCAATTAAAAACCCGCTTACCGATTTTCGTCCGAGACGCGTCCAATGTGCCCTCAGCCAGCCTCACATGTGCCGGCCGTCCCATTGTTTACCAGCCAGCCTCCGCGGTAACATCCAAGCATACACTCGGAATATTTCGTATTATTACAGTGTTTTCGGTGCTGTTTCTGGAAAACAAGTGACCATGGGCCCCAAGAAAGCTTCTAGTGCCAACCCTGTGGTAAAAAGGGTGAGAATTAGTATGGAAATTAAGAAAGATTTTGAAGGGTTTGGGGCTAACCCTGAGAAGCCTATGCCAGTTGTGGAATCCATTGTGCCTACTTCAAAGATTAAGGAAATGTGTGCACAGTGGGTTGAACTGCAAACCTTTATAGATGAAAATCACCCTGACACAGCTGTTGCAAGCCGTGCTGGTGACTATTTCAATGACAATGTTGTGGCCCATTTTAGACAAATCGTAAAGGAACGGGAGGTACAGAGCTCTATGGACAGATTTGTTGTGCGACAGAGGTCCAGTGACTCTCAAGCTGGTCCTAGTGGCATTAAAAGAAGAAGGGAAGTAACCCCGGAAAAGGACTTGCTACCTCAAGTCGTAATGGAAGGGGATTCCCCTTCTAAACAGTAAGAAGATAATGCTCTCCCCTCCTCCCATCCCATCAATCATCACCAGATCTTCAATAAAAGTAAGTGTCATTTAATTGTGCATGCCTTTTTCAGTTTGTGTGTATTAAAATTAACATTTCATGTGGTAAAAAAAAAATTTTTTCATACTTTTGGGCGTCTTGCACGGATTAATTTGATTTCCATTATTTCTTATGGGGAAAATTCATTCGCATAACGATTATTTCGCATAACGATGAGCCCTCTTGCACGGATTAAAATCGTTAACCGGGGGTCCACTGTATTTGGGAGTGGACGTGTCAGCGGATGGGTCTATGAAAGATGAGGTGAATCATAGAAATGATGAGGGAAAAAGAGTGAGTGGTGCACTTAGGAGTCTGTGGAGACAAAGAACTTTGTCCTTGGAGGCAAAGAGGGGAATGTATGAGAGTATAGTTTTACCAACGCTCTTATATGGGTGTGAAGCGTGGGTGATGAATGTTGCAGCGAGGAGAAGGCTGGAGGCAGTGGAGATGTCATGTCTGAGGGCAATGTGTGGTGTGAATATAATGCAGAGAATTCGTAGTTTGGAAGTTAGGAGGAGGTGCGGGATTACCAAAACTGTTGTCCAGAGGGCTGAGGAAGGGTTGTTGAGGTGGGTCGGACATGTAGAGAGAATGGAGCGAAACAGAATGACTTCAAGAGTGTATCAGTCTGTAGTGGAAGGAAGGCGGGGTAGGGGTCGGCCTAGGAAGGGTTGGAGGGAGGGGGTAAAGGAGGTTTTGTGTGCGAGGGGCTTGGACTTCCAGCAGGCATGCGTGAGCGTGTTTGATAGGAGTGAATGGAGACAAATGGTTTTTAATACTTGACGTGCTGTTGGAGTGTGAGCAAAGTAACATTTATGAAGGGATTCAGGGAAACCGGCAGGCCGGACTTGAGTCCTGGAGATGGGAAGTACAGTGCCTGCACTCTGAAGGAGGGGTGTTAATGTTGCAGTTTAAAAACTGTAGTGTAAAGCACCCTTCTGGCAAGACAGTGATGGAGTGAATGATGGTGAAAGTTTTTCTTTTTCGGGCCACCCTGCCTTGGTGGGAATCGGCCGGTGTGATAATAAAAAAAAAAATATTATTAGGTAGTAGGTTGGTAGACAGCAACCGCCCAGGGAGGTACTACCGTCCTGCCAAGTGAGTGTAAAACGAAAGCCTGCAATTGTTTTACATGATGGTAGGATTGCTGGTGTCCATTTTTCTGTCTCACAAACACGCAAGGTTTCAGGTACGTCTTGCTACTTCTACTTACACTTAGGTCACACTACACATACATGTACAAGCATATATATACATACCCTTCTGGGTTTTCTTACTAGTTCTTGTTCTTGTTTATTTCCTCTTACCTCCATGGGGAAGTGGAACAGAATTCTTCCTCCGTAAGCCATGCGTTGTGTAAGAGGCGACTAAAATGCCGGGAGCAAGGGGCTAGTAACCCCTTCTCCTGTATATATTACTAAATGTAAAAGGAGAAACTTTCGTTCTTCCTTTTGGGCCACCCCGCCTCGGTGGGATACGGCTGGTATGTTGAAAGAAAGATTAATGAGAATGGCAAATACCTGTGGAAGATGAAAGGTTCTGAACAAAAGAATGCATCACATGTCTAGGTACCCAACAGAAGACAAGTTGTTTGTGTCAGTGTTGGTTGTGACAATGCTGAATGAGAATGAGAGGATACAAGGAATCAAAAGTCTGAACTGCTTGCTATGCAATCTGAGGGTCAGAAAATAGGACAAGATAATGAAATCTTCAACCAAGTAGTAATGCAGTTAACCACATCAAGAATAGCTTTCAACTTTGCTGAAAAAAATACTAGTTACGTGCAATAGCCAGCCTTGAATCATATGATCAGGAAAGATGTCTGCATATCCTATTCCACTGGCAGATCCAGAATAACACTGATAAGGAAGGGCTAAATCCATAAGGGACATACATTACCTGGGTAATGTGAGAAGTGGGGGTATCCTGATTTGATCCAAAAAAAGGATAACACCAATTCTTTCAATAAAGACAACCCCTTCATGGTTTGAGCAGCATAAAATTCCTGCATTTTATGAAGTAAACAATGATTCACTAATTGTTAAAAAAAATTAACATGGATTCACAATGTTAAAAAAATTTATGTTTAAATTTTTCATAAATTATTTTTCTAAACAATAGTGTGTTATAGAGCTACTTGTTGACAACTCTGCTTAATTTTACACAAGCATGTCTGAAAAAGAAATATATCAAGTATTATGTTCATAGTTTTCTGCATATGTGCTCTTCACAAGTTACTCAACACTTGCAGATTCTTTCTCAATTACAAGCATTGCAAAGCGATTTTCAAGAAGATAAAAATTGTCTCCATCATCATTTTCTTCCTCCTTTCCTGACTCTTCCTCATTATCACTTTGCACATGCACTTTCCCCAACTGTCCTCTGTTAACATTTTTTCTCTTTCCTTTCTTCTTTTTTGCTTTTAGTTTTGTTTCTCTTAACATCCACTTATCATGCATGTTCTGTTCATGCTTGTCCTCTTGTTCATTACTTTTGGAATTTTGAACTGTTTCATTCATTTTAATATTTTTTTCATTTTTCTTTACATATAATTTAAAGTTTTTCAGCATATAAACACTTTTCTTGAGGCTCAGAGCATCAGCTAGTATCCTCAAGAGCTTAAGGAATAACTGTTCAAGGCAAGTTTTCCTTCCTAACATCTCAGCAATTTGAATAATGGGATTTGATTTCCTCTTGAGGTACAAGAAAATGTTGTAGCAGAAGGTCCCACCCCAGAGGCATTCAACACTTAGCATGGGAAATGGTGAGCACAGTAAACTGTTCAAGAGTTGTAGAAAATATATACACGCCTGGTATTCACTGAAAGCATGAACAGTCTTGCGACAGTAATCTCTGCTGCACCTCTGTTTTTGATGGTGAAAATTAAAGAGATTAAAAGCAGCTACCAAACACTCCTCTTTGGATGTATTAGCCAAAAGGTTTCTCACACCAACATCAGGGCTACAATAAGATGCATCCTTTTGAAGGCTGGAAATTTTACTTTTACATTTTTCTACATCCTCAAATCCTTTCCAGGTTCTAACTCTTCCTATTTTGCCATCAATAATATAATACATAAAAATACACAGCATAACACACAAGGCATGACAGTCCCTCAGTGGTAGCTTGCTGTTTCTGAACCAGTAAATAATAAAAGCAAAGATTAATTCCAAATCAGCAGGTAAATCATACTTCTCAAGTTCATTCTTTGTATCAAGCACAGAGTAGAAGACCTTTTTCTTGTCAGCAAGAGACATAGAAGCAACTTCATCCAAAGAGGGAAAGTCACTTGCTTTTTCATTGGCCAAAAATTTAAGCTTCTTCACCCATATGCTATTATTTTTTCTCAAGTACCACTGAAGGGAATAAACCTGTGATTTGGCATCTCCAATTAATTCACACTTTTTTTCTCTTTCTGTTAACTCATTATAAACTTTTTTAGTATTTAAATATTCTTTATCGTAAACTACTTTATCCAATCCCCAGTTATCATCCTTTCCCAACCCTTCTTCACTTGGCTCAGCTTCCTTTTGTTCTCCTTCTGTTAACTCATAATTGATGTCTTTTTCAATATTTAAATATTCTTTTTCATAAACTGCTTGATCCAATCCCCAGTTATCATTCCTTCCCATTCCTTCTTCACTGGACTCCTCAGCTTCCTCTACTTCAGAATCTCTTACAAGTTTCCAACTTTCTTCCTCCATTTCTTCTGACACTGTAGTGGAACTATCAATTTCTTCAAAATTATATGCAACATCACTGTACTCTTCCTCTTCCTCTACCACCACATCAGAATCATACATTACATTTGAAGTGTACTGATTATAATTCTCAACACTTTCTGAATGACTGCCCACTTCAACATCCTGAAAACTACTTTCATTATGGCAGTTGATGAGGTGTTTCTGACTGGTGACCCCTTTCCACAGTAAAAAATACACTGATCTAACGATTGGCTCCACAACCAAATACGAACAATCCAACAAATTTTCTTCCACCTGTGGAGGTGAAATAAAGTAGTTGTGAGTTAAAATGTCTGCCACCTCATGTGGAATCCTGTGCCTACGGTATGCTTCTGTAAACCATGCTGGAAGTTTTTTACCATTCTTACAAGATAAAGCAGTTTCCACCTCAGAGTTCTTTATCAATGTATTATCTTCGGGCTCACATTTCTCAACTTGAGAACCATCGCTGTGCAAGGAGGTTCGGGATTTACCAAGTCCCTCTGCACGGAGAATATTCAGGAGATTAGTTTTCATTTCAGAGTACTGATTCACCGACCACAAAATCCTGTGCTTTGATACCTTCTTGCAGCATATTTTGGCAACCTGTTGAGAAAAAGTAATTTAGAAAAAAAAAAAATAAATTTCACTAAAATTCTATTATTTTCACAATTAGAAAGAATATCCCTAACGAGAAATTGAAATTGTTGAGATAATCTACCCATATCATAAAGACTGACCAATATTACAACAAAACCTTGATTTAATGGACTAATGAGGAGTACTGGAGATGTCTTTTAAATCCCACTGTCTGTTAAATCCAAAATGACAAGGGTGCTTTTCCATTATTATAACAATAACAGAACAATTCTGGATTCCAGTGACTTGGTTGCTGAATGCAAAATGAATTAACCAAGCAAATTGGCAATTCTAGATTTAACAGATTGTTTGTAGTTTCCAGATGTTGTCTGGCCACAGATTTTGTCTGTTAAATCTGAAATCCCTTAAATAACAGACAGGTAAGTGGAGATTTTACTGAACCATTATGATCATATTTAAATAATTTGACTAACATATTACAGGCACAACACCGATTTTCTGGCAATAGATAAGCTGGCATCTCTTTTAGTTTGGACAAAAGTATGACAAATTTTTGTCACACTAGTTTACTAGTCTAGCACTTGAATTGTTTACACTGCAGTTGTTTGTGGTGATCCCTTGATCTTGTGCAATTCTTACTGTATTTTACCATCAATTAACCCCAGAGTTAATTAATAATGGCTAAGGTTAATAGCTATATTAACCTGTCAATAGCTATGGCTACTGACAAGTTGAGTTGTCAGGTGAATTAATCAAAGGACTAGAACAATGTTTCTTTGTGACAGAACAAGAGCTAACAAATTTTTATTTGATACATGTAAAATTACACAGGGAAAGAAACAACTCCACTTGGATGAAATGTTTAAAACGATAGCCAAGAATAATGCGTGTCATAGCAGTAGGCCTACATCTGAAAATCCTGTGGCTTCAACTTTAAATACTCCAGATGTCCTCCCTGTAACATCACAAATCCATAAAGAAACAGTAACTATGAAACAGACAGCAATCCAGACAACCCTTAACTCCCAGACATTTATGATTAGCTTTCTAGTTCCAGTAAAATTCTAAAATTTACCACTATGGGAATGGTAGTACTGAAACATACTTTTTAAGTACAGTAATTAATCAACATCTTTCATTTATACTAACATCTAAGTTTCTTGCAGGCCATGGTGGGTCAGAGGTGTATTGTTAAATTACTGTTATGTAATCTCTGTTGGTCCATGAAAATTTATATTCTGGTATGGCCTAGGCACTAAGGTTGCTGAAAAATCAGTGCTGTACCTGAATCTATTTATATATGTTGTTTCAAACACTACTAATTATGTTATGCAACATATTACAGCACCTAGTTAGTGAACACAGCATATGTTATACAGCTCAAGAACTTACTGAGGAGGGTGCCTTGATGCTACTAAGGACTCTTGATCTCAGGAACTTGGAGCTGCCCTCCCTTTCCTCAGATCAAACCTAATTATTTCCCATACTCTAGATGCTGTATGACCCTTACTTGTTTAACCCTTTCCCATTAATACAATAATAAAAATAATAAATGATTCAAGAAACCATATACCTAATAAAGTTCAACTTCTTTTCAGCATTGTCCAGTGAATTACAGCATTGTAACATTACTTACATTATTGATAATATACTTCATGCTTTTTCCATTCATTTTTACTATCCAGGTAATGACATTCTTTATATCTGCTTGGCGATTTCTGCCTCGTGAATTCTGCCTTTCCTTTGCTAAGTGGGTGTAGAATTGGGAGAAGCGTCCTTTTGGTATATAGTCATTCCCTAATAATGTGGCAAGAAGAGGGAGATGTGCACGGTCCATACCTGTTACCTAAAAATATTGTCATAATTAGTAAAGTTCTGTGAAGAATTAGTAGTACATTTATAATTGAGTAAACTAAAGAGGCTAGAACAAAATCCCATTTAATTACTACATCCCAGTTACGACTTCTGAATTCTACTCACAGTCCAATTTGAATCCAGTCTTTGCTAATGATTACCTGATCAACTAGGCTGCTGCTGTCTGTAGCAGTCACAAGCTAACTGAACTTTCTTGTCCAGCTTTCTTAATAAAGTTATCATATACAGTATGTTCAAAAAACTATTTCATTATATTGATGTTAATAGGTTCAGAAAGACTCAAGCCTCAGGTGTTAAAAGCAAAGGTTCTGTGTTTACAGCACTCTAGCTACTGTATTTATTTTGTCCCTACTTTAAATATAACACCACAGCCAATATACAGTACCCCAGTCACTCCTGAATATATACAACTTTCATTCTCCCTTGGGTGTAAAAGAAAACCTTTATACAAAAGGGCCCCCACTTATACTGCGGGTTAGGTTCCAGGCTCCCACAGTAAAGTAAATCGCCCTTGTTTCACTTTTAAATGCATATAAATGCCTGATAACATGTTTACACTATCATATATTAAGTTAGGAGTAGAAATAGGGAAAAAAATACAATAAAAAAGCAAAATGCACATACAGTACACTCATTACTTACTTTAAAATATTTGTAGTCTTAATGTAGGGTGAGAAGTGATTGGTATTTATTGTAGGAAGTTAGGTGTGGTAGTCTGCCCTGCTACCACACCTCACAATTATGTTAATTTGTTTTACTATGATTGTATACATTTTCTTTGTATAATACAGAGGAACTCTGGCTTTCGTTTGCCCTGGTTTTTGTCGAATTTGGTTTTCGATGACTTTTTTCATCAAAATATTGTCCCAGTTTTTGTTCATCACCTTGGTTTTAGTCTGCCATACCGAACGTGTCTGCATACCCACACCCACACAAAGCATCCTACGCACACATTCTGAGTCAATCTGGCTTTGTTTCTTGTTGAGTGAACATTACTCTGGGTGTTCATACAAAACATATCATAATAATCGATCGTTTTTTGTGGTTGTTTATTGAGTGCGACTGCTAAATAAGCCACCATGGGGCCAAAGAAAATTCCGAGCGCCAGCCCTTTGATAAAGAAGATGAGAAACATGATAGAATTCAAGAAAGAATTTGTAGAAAAGTACAAAAGTGGCATATGTGTGGGCGATCTTGCCAGGATGTGCGGGAAGTCCTCATCAACGATCAGTTCCATCCTGGCAAAGAAAAAAGAAATCAAGGAATCTGATGTTGCAAACAGGGTAAGTGTACTAACAAAACAGAGATTGCAAACAATCGAAGATGTTGAGTTGTTGCTGGTGTGGATCAATGAAAAACAGTTAGAGGGAGATAGTGTTGTGGAAGTGATAATTTGCGAAAAGGCAAGGCACTTGCATGCATGCGGATCTCATAAAGAATATGCCTTGAAAGAGTGCTGCTGTTAGTGAATTAAGACCAGCAGAGACTGGTTCGACAACTTCAAGAAGCGATCTGGCACACACAGTGAGTTAAGAGTGAAACAGACCTCTCTGGACAGATTTTTTGTGCAACAGGGGTACAGTGACTCTCAAGCTGGTCCTAGTGCCAGTGAATGACAAAGAAGGGAAGTAACCCCAGGTAGGGACTTGATACCTAAGTCCTTATGGAAGGGGATTCCTTTTCCAAACAATGAACTCTCCTCCCTCTCCCCTCCTTGCTGTCTTCCATACTCCAACAAGTCTTCAATAAAGGTAAAACTGATTTAAATGTTCATTTACCCATTAAAATTAGTGCTTTATATTTATTTCTCATTGTTTTCTTTATGTAAAACTATAGTTATTCTCTATAATATGTATTTTTTGTTAATATTTTTGAGTCTCTGGAATGGATTAATTGGATTTACATTATTTCTTCTGGGAAATATTGCTTTAGTTTTTGTCGAATTTGGTTTTCGTCAGACTCTCTGGAACGAATTAGGAACGAAAACCGAGGTTCCACTGTATGTAGTGTATTTCTTATACATGTATAATTAAAAAAAAATTTAAAGTGCCCCAGAGTGATTTTTATTATTGTGCTTATTGGTGTTGGACTAGAGAAAAAGGAATTCTTGCCGTCACTACTACAAGCTGCCTGGCAACATCTCATATTTATGTCAGTTTGTTGTACTATGGTTTTATGTATGCATTATGTTTATGTGATATATAGCTTGCTTCTTCTATAATTTTTGAAAAAATATCATAAATGAATTCATGAAAATGTCTATAATAATGAAATATACGACATTTAAAGTTCCCCAGAGCAATTATTATCGTTATTATTATTGTGTCTTCAACACTTGTGAGACCCTCTTAGTGATTTTAATGTGTAGCTGCATGCCAGCACAGTGTGTAAGTTTATTCAGGTAAAAGTACACATAAGTACAATTATCAGGGTACAGTCATAAGCTGCCGTACGTCATTAATTGGTTCCAAGTGCCGTGATGTAACCTGGTTTCTGACGTAAATCAGATGTAATGCCTTAAAATAATGACAAACAGTGAAACTAGCGTAAATAGCTTGTGAAAGAATATAACTATTACTAAACCTTAAAGAACACTAAAAATACATTTCATTCATATTTTTTTTAAACAATAATGAACACAATTAAAAAAGTTATGACGTAGGTGACATTGCCGAGTAATGTATAGTCTGATGTAATGACATTCACTGAACTGAAATTTACTCTAGAAAAGTAGTGTAAAGGTGAATTTGACGTAGGCCAAAATGACATAAAACGGGCATGACTGTATGTATATGTAAAATACACAATAACTTGAACCACTTGAAATTTTGTTAAGTTTCCAGACATAAATGATAGATGTCAAACTCACAAAGGATGTATACAGGCAAAGTGGCACATGGATGCCATAATAGTGAATCAGCGAGCCGTATAAGCAAATTTTTTAGATGTAGCTCTCTCGCTCTCTCTGTCTATGTTAGCGAATCGCTGTAAAACGAGGCCCTCCTGTATATTATTCCACCTTCAGAAGAATTCATATTACTGTAATTATTTCAAAATTATTCTTCATGTCACTATTACTAATGCAACTATTTAAAATTGTTACTATTGTCAACTATTTCATCCAAACTCCTCTTACTAGCCCAGTTCAATGAAAACTAAATGCAAAGTTGCAGTTAATCAATGTTATAGTTTTACAGAAATACGTATATGTGCCTTACTGTACTATACATATATTGGTACTATCTCTTCTTGATCCAGAGCAAGAATTAGTATTAATACAGTAGAGTCTTTGCAAAACAAATCTTTAGTGGTCAGAAAGGATTAAAATAAATGAAGAAAGCAAAAGGTCAAATGACCAGATGTTGATATTTTGTAATGTATAAGTTCCATAATGAAGCTCATTAAATTGTATACAGTACTTGTTTTATTTATACTTATCCAAACTATTTTCTTGCAGAGACTGCATACTAAGTAATAGTGATAAACCTACAAGAGTAAAATGAAACATTCTTAAGTCCTCTAATAGAGCATAATATATTGTACACTAAACCTGTCAATTATTGAAAATTAGAAGCAAGAATGTATAAGCAGAATAATGATTACACACATACTTTTTTTTTTTACATCTTAATTGCTATTTTTCACCAAGGCAGAGTGACCCAAAGAAAACATTCATTATTATATCATCAATCACAGTCTTTCCAGAAGCGTGCTGATGTCACAATCAGATTACCCTCTGACTGCAACATCCTCAACCTTCCTGTAAAGACACTGTACTTCCCACCTCATATTCCTCCCAGGACTCAAGTCCAGCTAACCAGTTTCCCTGAATTCTTTCACAAAACACTATCCTATTCACACTCCAACAGCATGTCAAGTCACATAAACCATTTGCTGTCACTCACTATCTATGTAACACACACACCACACACACACCTGCTGGATGTCCAAGCCCCTTGCACACAAAACCTCCTTTGCCCCCTTCTTCCAACCTTTATTAGGACAACCCCTACCCTGTGTTCCCTCCACTACAGATTTATACATCCTTCAAGTAATTCCATTTTGCTCCATCATCTCTAAATGTCCAAACTGCCTCAACAACCCCTCCTCAGCCCTCTGGAATACTTTTAGTAACTCCACACCTCCTAATCTACAAGTTACAAATTCTGTACATAATAGTTACACCACACATTTCCCTCAGACATGACAACTCCACTGCCTTTAGGCTCCTCCTCACTGCAAAATTCTCAACCCATGCTTCACACCCATATAAGTGTTTGAACCACTATACTCTCGTACATTTTCCTTTCTGCCTCCACAGATAATGTTCTTTGTCTCCACAGATGCCTCAATGCACCACCCACCTTTTTCCTCTTACCAATTCTACGATTCACATCTTTCACAGACCCATCCATTAACACATCCACCCCCAAATACCTGAACACATTCACTTCCTAAACAAATACAGAAAGATACAGATAGAGACATACATATAGGTAGATAGTGAGAGAGAGAGAAAGAGAGAGAAAGAGAGAGAGAAGAGAGAGAGAGAAGAGAGAAGAGAGAGAGAGAGAGAGAAGAGAGAGAGAAAGAGAAAAAGAGAGAGAAAGAGAAAGAAGAGAAAAGAAAGAGAAAAAAGAGAGAAAAAGAAAAGAGAAAAAGAGAAAAGAGAAAAAAAGAGAAAAAAGAGAAGAGAAAAAAGAGAAGAGAAAAAAAGAGAGAGAAAAAGAGAGAGAGAAAAAAAGAGAAAAAGAGAAGAGAAAAAGAGAAGAAGAGAAAAGAGAAAGAGAAAAAGAGAAAAGGATAGAAAAGAGAAAAGAGAAAAAGAGAAAAGAGAAAGAGAAAAGAGAAGAAAGAGAGATAGAGAGAAATAGAGAATAGAGAATAAGAGAGATAGAGGAGATAAGAGATAAGAGAGATAGAGATAAGAGATAGAGATAGAGAGATAGAGATAGAGAGATAGGATAGAGTGTAGAGATAGAAGATAGAGAGATGAGAATAAAGAATATAGATAAGAGATAAGATAGAATTAGATTATACGTAAAGTATGAGATAAATAAGAAAAGAAAATAAGTAGATAAATAGAAATAGAGTGAATGAGCATGAACAAAAATATCCAACATTATAAATAAAAGCAGGAACTCTTAATCTAACCCTGTAAAACCATAGCATAAATAAAAAGAAGAAAAAAGTTAAAAATACAGAAATACGTGAACATACCTTACAAAATTTATCCACATTGAAATGGTAACAAGCAATGTATTGGAATGGCTCTCGAGGCGGTTTCGCCTTTCCTATGTGTATTTTGCAACGAATGATGGAGTCAAGTAGAACTGTTGGAACACCATACATAAAGAAGTCGGAATCGTTGCTAAGAACTGTATAACCAAGTATCTTGGACAACCTAGCAATTTCTTCATCTGCCTCAAAATCTGTTTGTAAAACTGTAATTCCCATTTTTTGCAATGTTGTAACAAAAACTTGGCGCCCCATGCAAGGAAATATTTTGAATTTGTACTGGTTCTTAGGATCAACACGACTGCACATATTGATCTGGTCTTGGATCCTTTCTCGTGTAGTTTTCAACTTCTTCTTGTTCAATGGCTTTCCACCATCCATGATGACAATAGGATTCACCTTACATGATTGGAAACTGGAAGAGAAACAGACAATATGTTACAATGAAATACATACTGTATTTTACCTGCAGTAAAATAAAGCTAATTAAATTTAGAATTCATTATTAGGTAAAGAGAGAGAAAAAGGAGTTGCAAGTACAGTTTCAGAAATTAAAAAAATTTGATAATTTCTGTCATTATTTATCTGTATATGATAAAATACTGTACCTGAGAAAAACTCCTGTCATACTTTCCCAGTATTTAGGGTAAAAATTTTTTACATTTTTTTTTATCTAATTACAAAGATAAAGTGCTAACATGTCTTCTGAATTTGACACTTACTCCCTGAGCATTATGACTCCATAAATTACTAACTATGCTATCCTTTTGTTCTGAATACATGCTGAATAATTATTTTCTCCAACAAGCTGGAATTTATAATTTTATATTGCATAGAGTATTCACGTGTTCTTTAGCAAGTTAAAGATTCACAAATAACCCGCACATAGAAGAGAGGAGCTTACGACAATGTTTCAGTCTGACTTGGACCATTTACAAAGTCACGCTAACAAGAAGTAGAGCAGGACGGGTATATATAGGCAGGAAAAGGTAGTGGTAGTAGTAGTGGTAGTAGTAGTAGTAGTGGTAGTAGTAGTAGTAGTGGTAGTAGTAGTAGTAGTGGCAGAGATGGAAGTAGTAATGGGGAAGTAAGGAGGAGGAGCCAGTCAAATACAAAGAAAGGGAAGCACTGCAAGGGAGCTAGGTGCCCCCAGTGCTAGGTGCCAGTGCTCCCCTTTCTTTGTATTTGACTGGCTCCTCCTCCTTACTTTCCCATTACTACTTCCATCTCTGCCACTACTACTACCCCTACCACCACTACTACTACTACTACCACCTCTTCCTGCTTATATATACCTGTCCTGCTCTACTTTTCATTAGTGTGACTTTGTAAATGGTCCAAGTCTAACCAAAACGTCGTCATAAGCTCTTCTCTTCTATGTGCGGGTTATTTGTGTATCGTTCCAATCACGGTATTGTGCCTTTTTTTGGTATTTAGAGTTAAAGATTTTTTGACTACACATGTTCCAATATTATATCCGCTACACTTCCAAGTCTATGTCACTATTATTTTGATAATGTCATTCAGGAACTGTGGAAGTCCGCTTCACTGCTACTCAAAGACATACGAGAATTTATAATAAGACATTTACTTAATACTGTGCTTCACAGAAAATCTTACCTTTCAAAGTGCTTTTCCACAAAGCTGGCATATTTGTCATAATCTCCACCAAATGCAGCATTAATTCCAGTGCACTCGTAGTACAAGATACGGGCCAAATTGTTCCCATCAATAATAATGTTACAATTATGGAGTTTGCGTTTTTCCAAAGTGTCTCTGAGATTTTCACGAATATATGTGGAGAGGCCACGCACACCCATTTTCTGAAGGAAAACATAATAATTATTCCGTATACTTTGTCTCAGTGAATTTGTATTAAAAATAATATTTCATACAATAAAAACAATTTTCATTTATATAAGTATATTACAATTCAGGAATTATATCTAAGAAAAAAAAAAGTTGCATAATGATGATGCATAACTCATACTTTAAAAATGTCTAAAGGTCTGATAGTCAACATAAAATTAAGACTTGCATCAGATTATTTTCCCTTACCAAATAATTAACAACTATGCACTTAAAAGTATCATTCTCATATCTTACATATAAACAGAATGTAAAAGATTTTACAGTATTAATAATCAAAGTTAATATTTTAATCAATGCTGTAACATTATCCTTACCTTTCACACACACTTACATGCTCTGCATCTACACAATCCTAAATTATAGTTTTAACCATGTTGTAAGGGTATTCCTAGACTACAATAAGTCAACATATTTACACGAAAGCCTTTGCCACATCTAGCAATGAACGATGCACAAAAATTTTGTCTCATGAAATACAATATAATACTGGAATTTGCATGCCAAAACCTGTTTTTCTTTCTGTACGTTCTTTTTTTATGAACAACAATACTAGCAAAGTTGGATCAATATTTATGTTATAATGTATGACTTAAGAAATATAGAATGTGTTCAAATCTGAAACAAAATTGATTGAGGACAGCATTTAGTGGTACTGTACAGTATTAGCAATTTTTAAGTTCATGGTGACATTTGGAAATGTAACCAGTGCAAATATTGAAGAATGTTGTCACAACCATGAAACTTTTTAATATTTTAAGCATAATTCACAAATGGAATTAAAATTATATTGATAAGGCACATGTGCAGCAGCTAGGTCGCTTTATTCCAAAACAATGCACCTACACAGCAGAATTTTTTCAGTCAAATATAGGGTTGTCAACAAAAGCAGTAGAGACGAAAAGACGACAATCATTCCATTACCCTCGAAGACGTTGTTTTGAGGTGGCCAATCTCTCAGCCTGGAGAAAAGTTCTCCTCCATAGTCTAGAACAGTGTAAACCTAACTATTCTAACAACTGATTTCTGTTGAGGTAACAATGGATTTTAATATAATAGGTAAACAAATGTTAACTGTAAAAGAAATCACTTTTCTCTCTGTAGCTGTGTCTTACCTCTTCCTGAATTGGTTTATAATAATACTGGCCTTGACATGGTCAAGCAATCTGATCCAATCCTTTATTGCTGTATAATAAAAGGTGTCTGAGGACCACCTACTGTAGGTACTACAAAACTGTGTTCAATTACCCTAGCATCATATTGCTTTGGTTAAGTAAGGAAGCTTATTCAGGTACAGGTATGCATAAATACGGTTACATAAATTGTCACAAATAGCATCATGTGCAGGTTACCAAGGATAACCCATAGAAAAGTCAGACATAACCCCAAAAAAGTCAAAGTAACTATTTCCATTGGGGTCCTTGTAAGATATTACAAGGACCCCACTGGAAATAAGTTCCTATATTATGATGGGGGAGCACTAAACCCATAGGGAGTATACAGTGCCTGTGGGGGAGGGAGCATAAGGCATTCAGGCTTAATTCAGGGAATTTGAGCCCCTCACCAGCATCAAGGGGTTCTGGCTCCTAACCTTGACAAAATTTTCAGCAAGATATTCTGGACACTAATTATGAGCAATTCTGCAAACATGTTTGAACTTCAGCTGCATAACCCTACTAGCCACATTAATTATTATTATAATCAAAAAGAAGCGCTAAACCACAAGGGCCATAAAGCTACTAGCCACATTAAGGCCCGGTGGCCTGGTGGCTAAAGCTTCCGCTTCACACACGGAGGGCCCAGGTTCGATTCCCGGCAGGTGGAAACATTTCGACACGTTTCCTTACACCTGTTGTCCTGTTCACCTAGCAGCAAATAGGTACCTGGGTGTCAGTCGACTGGTGTGGGTCGCATCCTGGGGGACAAGATTAAGGACCCCAATGGAAATAAGTTAGACAGTCCTCGATGACGAACTGACTTTCTTGGGTTATCCTGGGTGGCTAACCCTCCTGGGTTAAAAATCCGAACGAAATCTTATCTTATCTTATCTTAAGCAACTGCAGTTGCTGTAATTCATACTGGCTGATATGGTCTCTTGGACTCAGCTCCACCATGTTTCTCACCAGTTTGTTCTGGGTGATTTGTTGTCTATTTCTCAGCGTTTTAGTGGAAGTAGATTATTATAATCGAAAGGAAGCGCTAAACCACAAGGGCTTTACAGCTAGTGATAGAAGAGTATCATGATATTTTATGAACTAGACATGTGTCCAGCATCAGAAGGTGGACATCGTGCCTACAGAGGCACTTTAACCTGAAATTTTTTCTTATTACATTGGTCACTGTCAATTTTCCTGACATGCCGGGTCGAAGGGAATTCCCAGATATTACATTATTATTATTATTATAATCAAAAAGAAGCGCTAAGCCACAAGGGCTATACAGCCCCAGATATTACAATGAAGGTAAAGTGACGAGTTCCCTCTCCACCACACATTAACACATTCATCCATTTCAGTTTACGTTTGGTGCCGAGGAGTATGGCTTTACAAGAGAGCTGAGAGCATGCACAAGCTCACCTTGTGTTATTAGCAGAGATGTTACCATCCCTCAGAAAGCTGACATCACCACAAGCAGGAATACTGGACAAAAATTAACTAGTGACGTTGTAATAACAATGGCGTCGTAGTGAGGGTTATTCAGGGACACCAAAACTGTTCGCTTTAGTGAGTTCATTGAGGCACACAGGTACATCTAAGTACAATTATCATAGTAAGTTTATTCAGGTACGGGTACACATAAATACATTTGCACAAATTATAATACATAGTAACATGTGTAAATGACCAAAGATAACCCCAAAAAAAGGTCAGGGGTCCTTACCTGGAGTTTACCTGGAGAGAGTTCCGGGGGTCAACGCCCCCGCGGCCCGGTCTGTGACCAGGCCTCCTGGTGGATCAGAGCCTGATCAACCAGGCTGTTGCTGCTGGCTGCACGCAAACCAACGTACGAGCCACAGCCCGGCTGATCAGGAACTGACTTTAGGTGCTTGTCCAGTGCCAGCTTGAAGACTGCCAGGGGTCTGTTGGTAATCCCCCTTATGTGTGCTGGGAGGCAGTTGAACAGTCTCGGGGCCCTGACACTTATTGTATGGTCTCTTAACGTGCTAGTGACCCCCCTGCTTTTCAGTGGGGGGATGGTGCATCGTCTGCCAAGTCTTTTGCTTTCGTAGTGAGTGATTTTCGTGTGCAAGTTCGGTACTAGTCCCTCTGGGATTTTCCAGGTGTATATAATCATGTATCTCTCCTCCTGCGTTCCAGGGAATACAGGTTTAGGAACCTCAAGCGCTCCCAATAATTGAGGTGTTTTATCTCCGTTATGCGCGCCGTGAAAGTTCTCTGTACATTTTCTAGGTCGGCAATTTCACCTGCCTTGAAAGGTGCTGTTAGTGTGTAGCAATATTCCAGCCTAGATAGAACAAGTGACCTGAAGAGTGTCATCATGGGCTTGGCCTCCCTAGTTTTGAATGTTCTCATTATCCATCCTGTCATTTTTCTAGCAGATGCGATTGATACAATGTTATGGTCCTTGAAGGTGAGATCCTCCGACATGATCACTCCCAGGTCTTTGACGTTGGTGTTTCGCTCTATTTTGTGGCCAGAATTTGTTTTGTACTCTGATGAAGATTTAATTTCCTCCTGGACTGCTTGCAGAGGCAAAGGCAATGTTCGCGGCTTTCACTGAGACCCACATAAAGGATCACTTGGACAACGAAATATGGATCCCAGGTTACAACCTATACAGATGTGACAGAGTGAACAGGCAAAAGGGGGGGGTTGGCCTGTACATTGCAGAGTCACTTGTTTGCACAGAACTGCTTAATGCCTCAAATGACGTAGTGGAAGTTTTAGCAGTAAAGGTCGAGAACCAAAACCTAGTCATTGTGGTAGTCTACAAGCCTCCGGATGCAACATCCCAGCAATTCCAGGAACAGCTGTTAAAAATTGACCACTGTCTGGAAAATCTTCCAGCTCCTGCACCCAACATCTTGCTCCTGGGGGATTTCAACTTAAGGCACCTAAAATGGAGGAATATAGCAAATAATATTGTTGCAGTAATAACACCAGGAGGCAGCTCTGATGAAAACTCACACTCACACGAGCTTTTAAATCTCTGCACAAAATTCAATTTAAACCAGCAAATAATAGAGCCTACTAGACTGGAGAATACACTAGACCTCATCTTCACTAACAATGATGATCTGATAAGAAATGTCACCATATCAAAAACAATATACTCAGATCACAACATAATTGAGGTTCAGACATGTATGCGTGGAGCCCCAGACCGACAAAATGAGACTAGTCACGAGGGAGCATTCACCAAATTCAACTTCAATAACAAAAACATAAAGTGGGACCAAGTAAACCAAGTCCTAACCGATATAAGCTGGGAAGATATACTAAGCAACACAGACCCAAACTTATGCCTAGAACAGATTAACTCGGTGGCACTCGATGTATGCACAAGGCTTATTCCTCTAAGAAAAAGGAGGAGTAGATGTAAAATAGAAAGAGACAGGCGCTCCCTTTACAGGCGACGGAAAAGAATAACAGAGCGGCTAAAAGAGGTCAATATATCAGAAATGCGCAGGGAGACACTGGTCAGAGAAATAGCAAGCATCGAACTTAAGCTAAAAGAATCCTTTAGGAGTCAGGAATCGCGGGAAGAACTAAAAGCCATAAATGAAATCGAAAGAAACCCAAAGTATTTCTTCTCCTATGCCAAATCAAAATCGAGAACAACGTCCAGTATTGGGCCCCTACTTAAACAAGATGGGTCCTACACAGATGACAGCAAGGAAATGAGTGAGCTACTCAAGTCCCAATATGACTCAGTTTTTAGCAAGCCGCTAACCAGACTGAGAGTCGAAGATCAAAAATGAATTTTTTATGAGAGAGCCACAAAATTTGATTAACACAAGCCTATCCGATGTTATCCTGACGCCAAATGACTTCGAACAGGCGATAAATGACATGCCCATGCACTCTGCCCCAGGGCCAGACTCATGGAACTCTGTGTTCATCAAGAACTGCAAGAAGCCCCTATCACGAGCCTTTTCCATCCTATGGAGAGGGAGCATGGACACGGGGGTCGTCCCTCAGTTACTAAAAACAACAGACATAGCCCCACTCCACAAAGGGGGCAGTAAAGCAACAGCAAAGAACTACAGACCAATAGCACTAACATCCCATATCATAAAAATCTTTGAAAGGGTCCTAAGAAGCAAGATCACCACCCATCTAGAAACCCATCAGTTACACAACCCAGGGCAACATGGGTTTAGAACAGGTCGCTCCTGTCTGTCTCAACTACTGGATCACTACGACAAGGTCCTAAATGCACTAGAAGACAAAAAGAATGCAGATGTAATATATACAGACTTTGCAAAAGCCTTCGACAAGTGTGACCATGGCGTAATAGCGCACAAAATGCGCGCTAAAGGAATAACAGGAAAAGTTGGTCGATGGATCTATAATTTCCTCACTAACAGAACACAGAGAGTAGTCGTCAACAGAGTAAAGTCCGAGGCAGCTACGGTGAAAAGCTCTGTTCCACAAGGCACAGTACTAGCTCCCATCTTGTTCCTCATCCTCATATCCGACATAGACAAGGATGTCAGCCACAGCACCGTGTCTTCCTTTGCAGATGACACCCGAATCTGCATGACAGTGTCTTCCATTGCAGACACTGCAAGGCTCCAGGCGGACATCAACCAAATCTTTCAGTGGGCTGCAGAAAACAATATGAAGTTCAACGATGAGAAATTTCAATTACTCAGATATGGTAAACATGAGGAAATTAAATCTTCATCAGAGTACAAACAAATTCTGGCCACAAAATAGAGCGAAACACCAACGTCAAAGACCTGGGAGTGATTATGTCGGAGGATCTCACCTTCAAGGACCATAACATTGTATCAATCGCATCTGCTAGAAAAATGACAGGATGGATAATGAGAACCTTCAAAACTAGGGAGGCCAAGCCCATGATGACACTCTTCAGGTCACTTGTTCTATCTAGGCTGGAATATTGCTGCACTCTAACAGCACCTTTCAAGGCAGGTGAAATTGCCGACCTAGAAAATGTACAGAGAACTTTCACGGCGCGCATAACGGAGATAAAACACCTCAATTACTGGGACGCTTGAGGTTTCATAAACCTGTATTCCCTGGAACGCAGGAGGGAGAGATACATGATTATATACACCTGGAAAATCCTAGAGGGACTAGTACCGAACTTGCACACGAAAATCACTCACTACGAAAGCAAAAGACTTGGCAGACGATGCACCATCCCCCCAATGAAAAGCAGGGGTGTCACTAGCACGTTAAGAGACCATACAATAAGTGTCAGGGGACCGAGACTGTTCAACTGCCTCCCAGCACACATAAGGGGGATTACCAACAGACCCCTGGCAGTCTTCAAGCTGGCACTGGACAAGCACCTAAAGTCAGTTCCTGATCAGCCGGGCTGTGGCTCGTACGTTGGTTTGCGTGCAGCCAGCAGCAACAGCCTGGTTGATCAGGCGCTGATCCACCAGGAGGCCTGGTCACAGACCGGGCCGCGGGGGCGTTGACCCCCGAAACTCTCTCCAGGTAAACTCCAGGTAATATCTGAGTAATTGAAATTTCTCATCGTTGAACTTCATATTGTTTTCTGCAGCCCACTGAAAGATTTGGTTGATGTCCGCCTGGAGCTTTGCAGTGTCTGCAATGGAAGACACTGTCATGCAGATTCGGGTGTCATCTGCAAAGGAAGACACGGTGCTGTGGCTGACATCCTTGTCTATGTCGGATATGAGGATGAGGAACAAGATGGGAGCGAGTACTGTGCCTTGTGGAACAGAGCTTTTCACCGTAGCTGCCTCGGACTTTACTCTGTTGACGACTACTCTCTGTGTTCTGTTAGTGAGGAAATTATAGATCCATCGACCGACTTTTCCTTTAGCACGCATTTTGTGCGCTATTACGCCATGGTCACACTTGTCGAAGGCTTTTGCAAAGTCTGTATATATTACATCTGCATTCTTTTTGTCTTCTAGTGTATTTAGGACCTTGTCGTAGTGATCCAATAGTTGAGACAGACAGGAGCGACCTGTTCTAAACCCATGTTGCCCTGGGTTGTGTAACTGATGGGTTTCTAGATGGGTGGTGATCTTGCTTCTTAGGACCCTTTCAAAGATTTTTATGATATGGGATGTTAGTGCTATTGGTCTGTAGTTCTTTGCTGTTGCTTTACTGCCCCCTTTGTGGAGTGGGGCTATGTCTGTTGTTTTTAGTAACTGTGGGACGACCCCCGTGTCCATGCTCCCTCTCCATAGGATGGAAAAGGCTCGTGATAGGGGCTTCTTGCAGTTCTTGATGAACACAGAGTTCCATGAGTCTGGCCCTGGGGCAGAGTGCATGGGCATGTCATTTATCGCCTGTTCGAAGTCATTTGGCGTCAGGATAACATCGGATAGGCTTGTGTTAATCAAATTTTGTGGCTTGCTAAAAACTGAGTCATATTGGGACTTGAGTAGCTCACTCATTTCCTTGCTGTCATCTGTGTAGGACCCATCTTGTTTAAGTAGGGGCCCAATACTGGACGTTGTTCTCGATTTTGATTTGGCATAGGAGAAGAAATACTTTGGGTTTCTTTCGATTTCATTTATGGCTTT